ATCTAACCTGTTACCTCTAACTCCTAGTCAGATTCGAGATCTTTTAGAAAGATATAGTTAATTGCAATTTTAGAACGTTATAGCTAATTTTTTTATTGAAATATAACTTTAAATATAATTTTAAGTAAACACAATAGTTTTTGTTATTTTAAGAAGTGTTAAACTCCTTGCCAACCACATAGTATTACACAAGGCTTACAGAGGTAAGTAAAGAAAACAAAATACAACATCACAACACAACATGAAATAGAGTTACAAATTTCCGAGATGAAACGTAAGAAATAAGTATTCAGACAGAAGAGAATGTGATTTTATCTTCACCAAACGCATGGAGAGGGGGAGGAGACTTAATATTTATAGAGTTTAGCTGAGAAACAAGTTCTTTTCTTCCTTTCGTACACTTTGAACTGTAGAACAACAAATGTTCGACATTTTGCGCTCCTCCGACTAGCTGGAACAAGTCTGTATAAGATTGCCTAAATCTCTTCAGAAGTGATTTGAAATTAACACGTCAAGTTAGAAATTTAGCAACTTCAAAATTGCATGAAAAATGTTTATTGTTGAAACAATTATAAGGAATAGAAGAGAAAAATAATTTAGTCAAAGAGTCAGTAGAAAAATTTGTGTGTAATTAATTCTACTTGATAATTGTTTCATTCCAACTTTGTTTCTTGAAGAATGACTTAGGCAATGTAACTGGAGTATTAACTTGAAAGTTTGCAGCATGTTTTCCTAACTAATTAGCCCTTCCATTTCCTAGATTAATAGTTTGGACACCTACACTGCGGAAATAAAACGACACTTCTATATCTTCCTTTCTACTGGGACGATTGACGAAATTCAACTTGCGGTTTTTATGTCTCGAAAGCATGACCTAGGATTTATATTAGATTTATATATGGCGTTATTCTAACATAGATATTTTGACACAAAATCGGCATTTTTCTGAAATGACATGCCAATGTCTTTCCATATTTCGATTCTACGACTCAAATTATGCCAAACTGCCAAGTTTAGTAAAAGTCGTAAGAATAGTTTTTAAAAAAATTAGCTCTCAAAATTTTAGCTCGTCAATGTTAATTGAATTTGATATATATTTATTAATCTCTCTTTTTTATTAAAGTTTCTTGATTACTTCTACCAGAATTCAAAATTTAGGCTTAATCCAAATTCGCAAATTTTTTATAATTTATTTTTTAAATTTGTATTTTTAAATATTTATTATATAGTTTTCAAAAACATTTTCAATCATAACCTATAAAATTTTTAACATCATCTTTAAGTAGATGTATTTCTAGGCACACCTGCGAAAATACATAGTACATAATCTAATATATATCCCAAGTCTTGCTTTCGAGACATGAAAAACGCAATTTGAATTTTGTCAGTTGGGCCAGTAGAACGAGAGATATAGAACTGTCCTTTTTTTGCGCAGTGTTCACCTTTATTATTAAGGTCTTTAAGGATTGCATGAGAAGTGAATATTAATTTATTAAAGGAGAAAATATTCATAAGAGAATATAAGGATGAAAGAAATAGCAAATAAGAAAGTTACCACTAAACGAACAGTGATAATAAGTGCTATTAATCGATTTACTAATGCACAGAAATTCGGCTTGGAAAGCACTGTATTCACTGGAAATTCTAAGGAGTTTACATTCCACTTCAGAACCATAATGAAAAAAACGTAAGCTAGATCAAATCGATTATTAATTTTACTGCCGTCTGTATGACACACAACTGTGAAATTATCTTCAACGGTATTGTCATAAATTCTAGTTTGAAAACAAAATGGCTTAAAACTGAAATTTTTTTGGATAAATAATAAATAGAAAACGCTTTAAAGAACGCGAAATGAAACATCTATTCAAAAGAACTTAAAGAGTAATAAGCAAATACTAATTGTCCTAAAATAGTTTTCGGCGAAACAAAGAAAATGCGCTTGCATTCTGAAGTATTCTCCTAGCGGTTTAAATAATCACTTAAAATACATCCCCAGTAATCACAGAAACTGAACTCAAAATATACTAAATACTTTTTTATGCTTAAAATTCTATGGAAATTAAGAAAACTTTTGAGAGCCATACTGTACAAATCTTGTACGGAAACATATGAAGACAAATCTAAAGTTTCATCCTGTTACCTTCATTCAGAATTTTTCTTGTGATGGCAGTATTAGTATTCCGGTAACATTTTGGGTTTTACTTTGAATTATGATATACGTTATTTGAGTACTCTGTATTCCAAGGTTTACTTTCAAATCTAGCTATAGCTTGCATCTTTTAACTTTCGCTTATTTTATATGTTTAAACTCAGAATCTTTGTCTGCAAAAATGTAGCTTTATTGGAATCCTCATTTCTCATGAAATAGCATCATTCCTAACTATAACATGAAATACTCTATATAGATGTATTCAATCCTATTGTCACAAAAAGTCATATTCAGAAAATACTGTTGATATTTTATTACCTAATAATTACCAGCAATGTTTCCTTACAATTAAGTTCCTTTGATTAATTTTAATTAGCGCTGAGAAAATGGGCTTCAGAGTAATACTTAATATGCTATTTATATAATATTTTCTAGATACGATGGAACCACGATCATGACGACTTCTTTACATTGCGCAACCATTTTAGGCTCTGAATAAATTTCTACAGAAATAGCGTCATTATTTCCTTCATGCATCATCGTACCTGTCATTTTACGTCATTAATAATCTTTAAACCAAGTTTCTGTTGCAACAGTTCTCCTATGGATGATCTGAAGCAAAAGACTGAATCGAAATATGTATTTATTCTTTGCGTCAGCTCATCTTTGGACTAGACATCCGACTGTACAGCAATGCAGCGAAGCTTCGCAGGTGGCTGCATCCGCGTTATTAGCTTCATTTTCGAAATGTTGTTCCCTTGCAAATTGCAATAAGTTTATTTCTGTGCCTATTCATTATTTTATTCTTATTAGGCTTACAAGGACTTCAGAGTTAATTTTCAGTTTGGCTGCATGAGGCATGTAAAGGAAGAAGCTCAAAAAAGGAAAATGGTAAGAGAGATATTTTCAACAAATGAGGTTTTATAATAATAATTTTGATAATTTAATAGATTTCAGGGAGTACATTATGTCTCTAAAATAATTTCCACTGGATTAATAGCACCCAAATTGTTTTTTTTCTTTTAGAATTTTGGACCATTTTACGAGGATCATCAATACAATTCAACTTTAAATCCTTGTACATTCTTTCAACATTCTCTTAAAATGTGTTTTAGACCTGAGAATAAAAATTATACCGAGCAAAAAAGGGGCTCCTATTCTGAATTCCAAAAGTTTTAAAATACGGCTTTAAGAAAGGAATATATTTTCATTTACAAAATTTTAAGGCGCTCTCAATTAAATTTAAAAGATACGCGGTTTTTCAGGTATGTTCCTACACGGTGAAAATAAATTAAATGCATTTATAAATAAATTAATATCAATGTCTCATTAACTACGGAAATATTTCCGAAGCAAATGGCGGGATGTACACATTAAAAAGTGAAATTTGTTTCATAAACTAATTTGAATCAATTTAGAATTATCCTCTCTGCTCTGAATAATAACTATTCTGCAAAAATGACAGATAACTCCAAGTCGCCTCATTGACGTGGTAGTTGAATCACTATGAAAAGACCAACTTAACTTCTTTGTTATCATCAATTAATGAATGAATATTGTTAGAAAATATTCAGAGTCCGAGTGAGTGAGGTTCATACCTGTTGTCGTATCGCTGGTGAAGCTGCAAAGCAACAAGCTCAAAAATGCTGTTCCTAATTATGAACAACAATACAGTGTATCTGTAATGCGCTTCAAAATTGAAAGCAGAATTAAATAGTCTTAATAGAGTATTCAGAACTGGAGGATGCTGCTAGAAGCGAAATTCATGAGCTTTGAAAATCATTTCTGAGATGATATTGAAACTTAATGAGCACGTTCATATCGTACAGTACTGGTAAAGGAACTGATTATCGATTATCGTGAAAGGCGCAATGATTTCGAAACTTTGTTTTACACGGAACAGTGGGAAATGCTTTATCTTTTGATTACCTCTTTTTGGCAAATGGAACATATGTTTTAAGGAAGAGAAATCGTCAAAAAAACGAATACTGGTGTCTTGTTAAGAATCCTCACGTCAGAAGACGAACATCAGTAATAGTAACAACAACATTCATCAATCGCTAGATCTACGGATCGGCTTATGGAAGACGTATATAATTAGATCCAGTACGGTGAGGCACTCGTTGTGTGGAGTTCCTATTTTCATTAAGTTATTCCTATTCTATTAAGTTCCTGTTTCGAAGCAAGAGAGGAGAAAAATATGTAATGTCCTCACCAAAATTCGAGCTTCGGACTCCGATTTCTAGCTAAGTGTGCTTTTCAGTTACATCATAAATGCACGCTGCAAGAAACAGAAAATACATTCCATTCTTCCTTACTTAAAGAGCTATGGGGCAGATTTCGGGGCACTACAGGCCGTAGCCACTAGGGCTGTTGCGGCACTGAGTTTAGTTTTTTAGCATATGTTATTGGTAAATCTTACGTCTCTCCTGTTCAGTACAGAAAGCTTACGGATGTTGTTATGGAAATTGTACTTATTGTACACCGTTCTCCAAGCTGAAATTTTAACTTTTTCAGTGTACTTGTCAACGTGCTGCAAACTTTCTGAATCAATACCGTTTAATTGTTTTCCTCTTAGGCGATTTCATTTCTTCAGCACAGCACATGATCATAAGTCAAACGGATTGTATAAAGACATGAGAGAAAATCCTGAAGAATAAAATGACGTCTTCCATATACATGACAAACCTTTATTTAAGCTATGAAGACGTTGAACAGCAGAGTAGAAACAAGATATTACACAGCGCTTAGCACTTCTCGCTTACATGCGATACTTGGCTAACTCCCTAGAAAAGTTGTTGGAGACGGCGGCTGCAGACAGACGAATACATAACGGCTCGCCAACGAAATGAAGTGCTGGAACCGTGGTGATTGGTCAGTTTTCGTTGCGAATAGGGTAAAAGAGATAAACAATCTGATTCCTTCTCAGTGTTGGCGCCATGTTCCAGGTGATTTAAATCCGGCAGATATACTTTCAAGAGGCAGTTCCCCTCGTTCATTTTCAGATTCTCTTTGGTGGGAGGGTCCATCCTGGCTCCTGGAACCTAATAACAACTGGCCACCAGACCGTTTGGCTTACGAGATCTCTGTGGTAGAACGAAAGAAAAGGAAGGTCAGATTGTGTAACCTTAATTCAGTTGAAGGGGAAATACCTTGGTATACAATTAGGTTTTCGAATTTTCAATCCATCATTCGATTAGTCGCATGGATATTGCGGTTTGTGAAAAACGCAATGAGTAAACGTGCATTTCGAGAGACTGGAGATTTAACCGCTCATGAGATGGAACATGCTGAAAAAACTTTTATAAAAATTGTACAAAATAAGTATTTTCCCTCCACCGACTCTATTCCCAATATGAGTGTCATCTCAGACAAAGAGGGTATAAAAAGGGTGAAAACGCGCATTACAGAGCGATCAGACGACCCTGAATTTATTTGTCCAATTATTTTACCAGACCGGTGTATATTCACCCAGCGTCTGATAGAATATTATCATTTACAAAATTGTCACGCTGTCATTTACAAAATTGCCCAAATATTACTTGGAATATTAACGGAGCGATTTTGGATAGTGAGGGGCAGAAGAGCGGTCAGGAAAGTCGTAAAAAATTGTGTAAGATGCAATCGATACAAGGCTAAGGCTCCCGGTTGCGAGCCGGTGTCGCTACCAGGCGATCGTGTCAATGACGCAGCGGTGTTCGAGGTGGTAGGAGTTGATTTGGCAGGACCCTTGTATGTGAAGGGAGGTGAAAATGTTTGGATTGTTTTGTTCACATGTGCAATATATAGGGTCGTTTATTTGGAATTGACTTCCTCATTGTCTACCGACGCATTCTTGTTGTCATTGAGACGATTCGTAGCCAGAAGGGGGAGGCCGAGAATAATTTATTCCGACAACGGAACTAATTTGAGAGGAGCCCAAAGAGAACTTAGTAACATTGATTGGGAAAAAGTTTTGAGGCAAACGGCTATACAACGTATAATATGGAAGTTTAATCCTCCCACAGCCGCTTGGTGGGGAGGCTGAGGTTAGCTCGTGTAGTAAAGGAACTGTTGAGAAGGACACTCGGTAACACGGTTCTTACAACCGAGGAGTTGTACACAGTATTGTGCGACTGCGAGTCAATAATTAACTCTAGACCTCTTACCTATGGGGCGGAAAATCTGGATGATTTAATACCACTTTCCCCAGCCCTGTTTCTCATCGAGAATGGTAGCTTAGGTGTTCCTGATATTGATTTCTGTGATTCGAAAGGTCTTCGAAAAAGGGCTAGACATCCCCAAAAACTACTTAATGATTTAAGGCATATATTTAGGAAAGAATATTTAGGCCTTCTGGTCCAAAATAAGAATAATCCATCGTCAGAGCTACGGTTGGGTGAAATTGTCCTAATAGATGACATCAAAAACGGATGTATTGGCCTTTAGCTAAGGTCATTCGACTAATTCCTGGGAAAGATGGCAAGGTCAGAATTGTAGAACTGAAGACTCAAGCTGGTACGCTGCTTCGTCCCATTCAGCGAGTCTTTCCATTGGAAGTGCAGTTAACGGACACACCTACTGATCCCATAAATGATAACTCTTTTACTAATCCTATTTCTTCTATTTCTAGTGATGAGCATTCAGATTCTAATGGTTCTTCAAATGACTCTAGTAACATTCTGCAAGGTGCTAAAGTGTCAAGATTTGGACGTGTGATCAAGGTGCCTCAGAAATTGGATCTCTTCGACCAGGTACTGTATGTCTTTGAGCCAACCTGAAGTCGACTCAAAGAGGAGGAGAATGTTGGAGACGGCGGCTGCAGACAGACGATTACATAACGGTTCGCCGAAGCTCAACAGAAGGAGCGCCGCATCTGATTGGACTATTTTGTATTATTCTTATTTTTTCTTTAATTGCGAACTAAGCGGGGAAATTCCCTTTTCAATCAGTTATATGTATGCACTAGTTAAAGTAATGTAACGTTTTCAGCTTGTGTGAGATATCCATATTAAATCTTTATATTAATAATCCCTGCTGTGATTATTTAATTTCTATCTTGCACGTTGTAGCCCTGTGAGTTGCAACAAAAGTATTACGCAGCAGAGAACTTGCTTATCATGCGCTTGCGCTAGGGGAATCAACGGCGGTTGCCAATAAATCCTATATGCAACTTTGGCGTATAGAAACGTATCATTTTTATGCTTTCTCATGAAATAATTTGCCGAACGCAGACATAAAATGGTAAGTACTTTCCTATATACTAGTTTATATTAACATATCCGAGTAAGAACTGCTGGAAAATCTAATTTTCAAAATCCTACCTCATCGATAATTTCAGACATCAAAGAAGCCGAAGGTTTACATTTTTGTAAAATTATTTATAAACAGAATTTTTCCCACTTTTATTCGATTTAGGAAGCTGCTTTAAAAATAGTGTCAGTCACATCAGTTACTGAAGCTACAGCTCGAAGAAACGTTATGAAACTTAAAAATAATAAAACGTTACCTGAGATCTTCTCTAAATGCATAACCGTTACAAAATATATCTTATTTATAGAATAAAAATGAATTAATCACATAGATTTTGAAAAACTGGCAAAGATGTTCCTTTCTAGAAATAAAAACAGTAGGTATCAAAATACACTCTTTTGCAAAAAAACCAAGCACTCCAAGAAGGACTTTTGCGATCATGACGAAATTTGGTATGCAAAACCATCTTGATCGAATATACAAAGGATCAAAGTTTCAAGGCAAATGGACCGGAATTGCGATCATAGCACGCATTTCTAGTGCGCAATTCGCAAAGTATAAAACCAGTAACAAAGGCGGAAAATTTTTTTAAATTAAAAAAAAAAATTTTGTTGCTGCCAATGTAATTCCGTAAAGAAGCAACTAAAGATGCCGTTACGATGATATCGAAGACCTTAAAGACAACTGAACGACTTCGAGCGTGGTCGCATTATAGAGTTGCGTAAAGCTGGGTGGTCATACCGAGCAATAGGCCGCCACCGGCAGCGTACAGACACTGCTGTGCAAAGATATTGGCAGCAATGGTTGCTACAAGGAAATTGCCGATGAAATGAAGGCTCTAGAAGGCCAAGGATCACAAATGAGAGGCAAGATAGAATGATTGTTCGACAGGCTCGAACCGCCCCAACGGTATCATTTTCGATTACCGATTGACCAATGGTATGGGTATCCTTGTTGATTCTATTCAGCGCACTACAGCCATGTCTATATCTCCCGTGGTACCGTCCACCATCTCACGGTGCTTGTCTGAGGCGGGATTATGCTCACAGAGGCTTTTAAGACGTTTGCCTTTGACCCCACAACATCGGTGGAGTCGTCAGGAGTGGTGTCGCAGCCGATCCTCATGGCTGTCATCAGACTGGCATCGTATAGTGTTCAGCGATGAATCCCACTTCAGCCTTTGTTTTACAACAGCATGCAGCCATAACCCCTGGTGAGTTGGTGTGGGGCGCTATTTCTTATGACAGCAGGTCATCTTTATACGTTCTCTGCACATCTTTAACAGCTCAATACTATGTTGATACCCTCTTGCGGCAGGTTGCATTACCCTTCATGACACGTCATCCTGGGGCCATATTCCAGCAGGATAATGCCATTCCCCATACCGCTCGCATATCTATGGACTGTTTCTGTGCGGTTGATACTCTTCCTTGGCGAGCAAGGTCACCAAGCGAGAATGTTTGGGACATGGTAGGCCACTAGATTCGGGGACCACAAAATATCGCAGATCTGAAGCGATAACTGATGAATGCCTGGCAGAATGTGTCGCAGGGTGACATTAGAAACCTCTACCATTCCTTGCCTCGGTTCGAGAGGCGGTTCGACCAACTACTAATTTGAACACTCAGTGGTTGATTGTGAGCCGTGAACAGGTACTATGACCTTGAATTTTAATCATTTTATTATCTGTGTATGAGCTATACACATATTCAATTTCATCAAAAAAGGAAATGGTTTCCTTCATGGTGCTTTGATTGTTTTGCAAAAGAGGGTATATATTGAGAGAATGCTTTTTGCATTAATAAAAACATTATATTTTTTATTTTATTTATTTTTTGCATTAATAGAATGATTTTATAATGACGTTGATAATATTTCATTGTAACTTGTAATTTCTACTCTTTATTTTTCTGTTTTTTTTAAAAAATTTTTTAAGATATAAATCTTTACATATGTCACCGACGGCAATGTATGAAGCACCGGCATTCTATAGACTATCTAGGCATTTTAAGGAATGCCTGGCGTTTATTGGCAAAGTATGAAATTTGAGAATTTTTATATACTTTACCTAGGCATTGTATACAATACCCAGGCATTCTATGGAATGCCAGATGCTGTCCAGGTAAAGTATAGAAAAACTTCATGATAAGGCTATTATTTAAAGGGCGTTCATTCCTTAAAAAATACAAATGTTGTTTTGAAAAAATAACGAAACTCTGTCATTAGAAAACTTTTTCAAAATATATAAAGTCTCGCGCACTGGAGATAAAAATGTTTTTTCTGTACAACGTTGCCATTGCTCGCTTTGAAATTCTTGAGTTTGTTAATCAAAAATTCGTTAAAGTTTTATAAAATATGAAATAGATAAAAAACAAATTCCAAATTTAAAATTTCGTTTTCCATATGCCCATATTCACAGTAGGATTACGTCATTCAAAATTCGAGGGCTCTATATACCGTTATTTTATCACAATGCGAGAAATAAACATACATTTATGCAGATTTTTCATTATTTAATTTCTTCAAATATAATGCAATAACATTTGGTGGCAACAGTTTGAAAAGTGAAACGGACACTCATATAGTGATTCAACTCAAAATCGCAAAACGAAAACAATAGTCCTTCAGGGACAAAGCCCCTTTGGACTAAAAAATAGTAATAGGATCTTGGAACACAATAATAAATTTATGTTCTCTATCTGAATGACATCGGAAAACAAAAGATCTACATGAAAACGGGAATTAAATTCAGAAACAATTATAGGTTTTACAGAAGTACCTTTTTTCATACATTTTTGGTTTTTCTGGCAGGGCTCACAAAAGTGTATGTCAATATCACTACGTATAACATTTTTGTATTTGGTTGTAAGTTTTTTCAACATTCTGTCATATCCTTCTTTTCCAAATGAATTTCATGAATTATGAGAAAGAACTCATTGTCCATGACGTAATACTTTGTAATACTGACTCCTTCTTTACCAGGATAAAATGAAATTAATTTTGTTTTCCACAAACATCACGTGATAGCGGTTCAGCAATAAAACTTTCCCATGGTCCTTTCTCAGTTGTCCTTTTTGCCTTTTCTGTATCACTTATTAACTTCTCGTTGAGAAATGTCTGTTCGGTTTCGGTATAAATGCAAGTTGCGGTTATTGAAGTTGCAGTTTGTCATTTGGTATTCTATAATATGCCTAGGCAATGTGTAAAATGTTTAACCGCTCCATATATTGGGCAGGTCAATTTTCGGCCATTCGAAAGAATGTCGGATTTCATACTTTGCTGGTAACATATATATTACTTCTCCATTTATAAAAACTGCAATAAAAATTGCTACAGATATAATAGTACTGCAAGTAAAATATTTATTTTAAAATTTATTTAAAAGGGTCAGATAAAAAAACTCTCTGTTATGCATAGGTACGCTGTCTCATTATTTGTGTCAGATAAAATATTACTCAGGCATTAATGTGAGTGAAAGCCATTTCAGTGCCATTAAAAGGTACTGGACAAAAATCCTTCAGAGTCTGTTGCAGAACATTAATTAATTATTTAAATTTTTAAATATGTGAATCTTACACGAAATAGGCAAACTAAAAATCAGACTGCATAAGAACTGTGCACAATATTGCTGCCAATGAGTTGCATTGTACGTATGTTATAAATTTAAATAAAATTTAGTGAAGAAAGGTAAAAACTTAACACTTGTCTATTTCATTTCCTAGGGATTTTCGTGACTTAAATATAAGGCATAGTTGTACATAATTTTCATTGGAGCACTTGCACACGAAGTTTGCA